GGTTTCCTAGGCTGGTCATGCCGGTAATGTAAGTTCTGTGTGTGGGTGGTGCCACCTGAGGGACTGAATGACCTCCATCCACAGGGTGAGCCAAGTCAAACACCAGCCTGCTTCCCACCCAACCAGAGCTCCACGGGGCTCCACTACAAGAGCACACAGTGGCAAACACTTGACTAGAACAGATCAAGCATCTTGTTTAGAGCAAGGTTTAAAAACAAATGAACAGCCGAAGCCGGTTTGGCTCAGTGGATAGAGCGTCGGCCTGCGGACTGAAAGGTCCCAGGTTCGATTCCGGCCAAGGGCATGTACCTGGGTTGTGGGCACATCCCCAGTAGGAGATGTGCAGGAGGCAGCTGATCGATGTTTCTAACTCTCTATCTCTCTCCCTTCCTCTCTGTAAAAAATCAATAAAATATATTTAAAAACAAACAAAACAAAAAAAAAAATGAACGTTAAGCATCCAAAACACTGTTCTTTATTGCTATTCACCGGGCCGGTCCTTGAGTCCTCTCAAATTATAGTAGAATGCAATTTCTCTAACTCACCTTTAACCATTTTGGGGTCAGTCCCTCCGGGCTTCTTGTTTTTCTAGAATTTTCAGTGACTTTACCAGACATCAAAACAGGTGAGGTCCTTCTTCTACTTTACCTTTAAAGTCCAAATAAAAGAATATTACTATTATTGGTTTCCACCAGAGCAAAGAAACGTGCTATTACCACAGGCCTATCCCTTCTCTGGGCATTTGGAGTGTCTATATCTTATCCCACCGGGACCAAAGGAGGAAGAGGACTGTCCCCTATTACATTTGCCCGTGTCACTCCCAACCTTCCAATCAGAAGAGGTCGTTTTCCCCACTCTACTGCCTCCCTAACCTCAGCCCTTTGTCCTTTGGAGCAGGATGTGTTTGTTGATTGATTCTATTTATTTACAGTTTTTACCCCTGGCTTCTGACACAGACTGTGCTCTTCCATAATGAAGACTAAGACTTAGAAAAACAAAACATGAAATTCCACATGAACAAGGGGAAAGGTTTTAACTGGGGGATTAAAGTGATCAATTAAGTAAAGATTATATGATATTACTGACATGCAGAGCTGGGCTGGACAGAAGAGACCAAGACCGAGTGTCCAACCAAGAGTGGAGGTGAGGTGTGAGAACCGCAGGATCGCAGATCAGACCCCTAATGGCTGGAGTTCAAAGAGGATACAGCGAGCTGGAGGGAGAGGGCTCAGAGCGTGGGTCAGGCGTCCATGCGCCTAGGAAATCAGCTAAAACAAGAGGACTCAGACAAGTCCTGCGGTCCAGGAATCCGGAAGTTAGGGTCAGAGAGTGCTGTCATCGCCAACAACACTCTATATACCCATCATCTCCCCTACTCTCTGCAGTGTGTGGTCACACTAGGTATAGGTACACAGGAAACCAGAGAGAATCATAGCCCACGATGTCTGTCACCTCTAATTGACACAAGGGCAGAGGACTTAGACCTCCTGGTGGATGTCTAAGCATCTTCTGACGTTCTATTGAGCCCGCCTCCTGACGATTAAATGCCAGTTCTAAATAGGAAGACTTGCTCCCCAAACCAACAGATGACTGGGCTGTCATCATCATGCCTGTTCTAAACTCACTTGTGATTTTACTGTGAAGCTCTGCGTGTGTTATTTATTAGGAATCACCTGAAAACGGTTATTTGGAAAATCTTACTAGTCATGAGGCATCTAGCCATCTCAATGATTTGTCTTTTACAGCAATGCAATGGGTCATTCTGAAGGAGCATTTGGTTAACCTTCCACCTCGTCAGCTTAAAAAGGTTCTAGAAATCCTCCCCCACGCTCTTTAAGGAGGCCTTTATCAGATACCTTGGTTTCATGAAAGGTAGACTAATGTCTCCCATCCTGTGTACAGTGCATTCCCTCCTTAGGTATAGGACCTTGGACACGCTTCTTAGCTCTCTGGGCCTTAGTTTTCTCTCCTATAAAATTAAAGTGCTCAATAGACTGCATTATCTCCATGGTTCCTTTAAATACTAAGGATCTAGAGTAATTTTAAATACTTTGTTAGCTATCTTGACCAAACTAGCATCACAGGTGAGAAATGGGCTGCAAAAACCAAACTTCCCCTCTGGTTTATACCCATTAGGTTAGAGCCAACCACTTTGTGTTATTTGGGTTACTTGCTGCTAAACACATCATGACCTTGTCCACATTGAAGGTCATCTTCTATTTTTCTACCCATTCACATGGCCCTTTTCCATCATCACTATCAACTGAGCATTTTACATCTTAGAATTCATATGGATTTTTTCTTCTCTTTTCAAAACTGTTATGTGATAGTTATTGCAATTACTAAGTCACTTTTCACATCTCTTCATTTACAAAATTCTTCCCATTTTTGTGCATGCTTTTATTCTAATGACTAACAATTCCGGTTTTCAAAGCACTTTTCGGACATCCATTGCCTTATCTGACTCCTGACAACAATCCCATTTTTTAAATAAAGTAATTTTACACAACATTCCTACCCATATATAATAGTTGTAACAACTTTTCTTCCTGATAAACTTTGGCATGAAATTTCATCAAATTCTTTCTGAGAGTTACATTTTTTATTACTATCCATTGTATTCCTACCCAAATGCTTGCTTACCTGGAAAAGAAATCTGGTAGACCAAGGGAGCAGGAGGGCCCAACTTACAGAGGGTCATTGGAAGTAAGAGCTGAAATGGCCTTCAGTGACCGCCTGTCCCACCCACACCTGAACAGGGGATCTAGTTCTCAGTGACCAAAAGGTACTCATTTTTGAGGGCTTCCTGGTTTGGGGTGCAGAGCCTTTGATCATGGGCCCCATCTCTGTGAGCTCCCCCGAGTCACTCCTGAGCTCACAGTTTCTGATTTGCACATATCGGGTCCCACTTGGTAGCTTTTCCTGACCCCCCCTTGTGAGCACTTTTTTTTCTTGCTTCAAAGCTGTCCCTTCCCCACGATGGCTGCTTTGACTTTAATGAATCAGCGGCAGCGTTTGTGATCTGCAGCCAGGCTTTATGGGAGGAAGATTCCTGGGCTTTCTCAGGCTGTTAAAGAGCCCTCTGGTCTCCTGCTGGCTGTTTGCTCTGCTCCTTTTTCCTCCTAATTAATGTGTCCGTCTTATCAAGAGTGGCCTTTTCTCAGAGTAACTGAGTGATTGATGTGTTGTGTTGTGTTTTCTCTTAGAACCCTCCCTATCTGCCCAGGCTGGAATTAATTGGGGTTTGCTCGTGGTGGTAAAGTGATTTGATACATCAAACCCTGCTCACCACTTAGAAAAACCACAGCTGACGGGTGTTCGGGCCAGTCTCAGCGTTCACAGGGTTTCCCTGGAGGGCTGGGGCTGACAGCTCAGCAGGGGCGATCTTGTGCTCTGGGTTTAGCCGGAACCAGCTCTGACACAATGCTCTTGACCAAGTTCTAAGCTTCCTGAACTTCAGTCCTTGCGCCTGTGAAATAAGAATAATAGGGCCTAATAATAGGGCCTACTTCATAGGAATGTGGAGAAAATTAACCGAAATAATGCATGAAAAATGTTTGATATTGGATAAGTATCCAATGATAGACAGAGCAGCTCATTTTATCTCAGGTTACAGATGAAGACACTGGGCTCAGAGAGGTCACATGGCTCACCCAATGCCACCCAGTACATGCATGAGCCACAGCAGAGCCAGGACCTGAACCCAGGTTCTCTGCCTCCTAGACTCGCACTCTTTCCACTTTTCCAACAATACTTCTCAGAGCCAAGACCTGAGTCTCCTATGACAGTGGTTTCCCAAGTGTGCACCCCGGGCCCACAACATTAGCATCACCTGGGACTTTGTCAGACATGTCAGCTTGGGGCTCCCAGACCTAATGAATCAGAGCCTCTGAAGAGGGGGCCCAGCAATCTAGGTTTTAGCAAACCCTCCAGGTACTTAGATCTGTGCTCCGGTTTAAGAACCACAGCTCGCCGAACCGGTTTGGCTCAGTGGATAGAGCGTCGGCCTGCAGACTCAAGGGTCCCGGGTTCGATTCCGGTCAAGGGCATGTACCTTGGTTGCAGGCACATCCCCACTGGGGGGCGTGCAGGAGGCAGCTGGTCAATCTCTCTCATCGATGTTTCTAACTCTCTATCCCTCTCCCTTCTTCTCTGTAAAAAAATCAATAAAATATATTTAAAAAAAAAAAAAAAAAAGAACCACAGCTCCATGGAGTGATTATTTCTCTCTTGATCTCACTCCTGAGATGGGCAGTCCACAGATCCAGCTGTGAGCCCCAACATCCCAGCCCTGTGACATTATCCTCACCAGGGACTTGAGGATAATAATAGAAAAATGCATTTTATAAACATTTTATAACTTTTTTATAAAAGTTAACCCTTCCAGCCCTGTGACATTATCCTCACCTGGGATTTGAGATGAATACCTACTGAGACTATTGAATTGTGGAGTGGTTCTTGCCCCTTGATGTACATTAGAATTGCCAGAAGCCAGTCCATCCTTGCTGCTTGACACAGTCACTGCAGGGAAGAAACACCTGCACAGCATATGTTTCAAGGGACCTGGCATATATGGCATACTGTTCTTAATATGTTTGCTCCCCTT